CTGTCTACAAGTGGTCTGCAGCCTGTCTACAAGTGGTCTGCAGCCTGTCTACAAGTGGTCTGCAGCCTTTCTACAAGTGATCTGCAGCCTGTCTACGAGTGGTCTTAAGCCTGTCTACAAGTGGTCTGCAGCCTGTCTACAAGTGTTCTGTAGAGTGTCTACAAATTGTCTGCAGCCTGTCTGCAAGTGTTCTGTAGAGAGTCTACAACACTAGTGGCCTGCAGCCTGTCATCAGGTGTTCTGTAGAGTGCCTATAAGTGACAGTGGTCTTCAGCCTGTCTACAGGTGGTCTGTAGCCTGTCTACAGATGGTCTGTAGCCTGTCTGCAAGTGGTCTATAGCCTGTCAGCAAGTGGTCTGTAGCCTTTCAGCAAGTGGCCTGTAGCCTGTATAAGTAGCTTAAAATTATACCAAGTACAGACATATGAAGAGCATAACTTACAGTTCGTTTATTTGTCAGGGCACTGATGACCTCATCTCCCTCCAAACCAAGTAAATGCGATGCAACTCGTGCCTCTTTTTCGTCTCTTAATACAGCCACATCATGACTTGATGCCTTCAATGAATATACAATGTTAGTTTAACATATGGTACAAGGATATGATGCCAATTATTAGTAATATCAAACATACCAATCCTTTGTAAAACCCTGCATTTCCAAGATGAAGAATAGCAGCAAGTATAGTGAAAATACCATCTTTCTCCACAGGCTAAAAATAATCATAGATATACTGGGTTACCACCATAAAATACTGGGTTACCACCACAGCATACTGGGTTACCACCACAGCATACTGGGTTACCACCACAGCATACTGGGTTACCACCACAGCATACTGGGTTACCACCAGAATATACTGGGTTACCATCAGAACATACTGGGTTACCACCACAAAATACTGGGTTACCACCATAACATACTGGGTTAACACCATGTTGTTTCACCACTAGCTATTATTAAGAGTTACTATCGTAAAACAAGGACAATTTTATTTTTATTTAAAGTTAGACAATAATTTGAGTTCATTCTTATCATACAGTTTTAGGCTTTTTGTGAAGTAGGCATGATATACATAAATAGTTGTCATGTATTTTATTTATACTCACAGTTATATCTAGTATATTCATCGCAGTAAGCACATGATTGAGTGAAGTCTTATCATTCCTTTTAGGTATGACACTACTTTGACCCTTGGAAATAGAAATATGTTCATCAGGATATGTGGAGAGTGGAGAGGGGATGAGAACTAAGGACCGAAAGATCAAGAGAGGAGAGGAGTGGAGAGGAGAGGAGAGGAGAGGAGAAAAGAAGACAGGACAGGACAGGACAAGAAAGAAGGTCAAGAAGAGGCAATAATGGTTGCACTTTTTTTACCTGATTCAAATAAAAGTAGTCATCAGCTTTAGTCAGCAAAAGCTTGTTTTTGGTTTCTTGTGATAAACCAGCCAGCATTTCATAAAATATGTGGTAGTTTCTCTCTTCCGATGACTACAAACCGAAAGAAACTTATTAAATATAGTTGATCATTCATGATAATGGAAAAATGAAATGATGAAATACACACCTGGCCAACAATTCGAGACCTTTCAAGAAGATACTCAGATATACGACCACCACATATTGCACCAGAACTTTAAGGGGGAAACAAATAAGAAGTTATCAGCCAACACAGACTGACAGGAAGTCAAAAAGGGGAAGTAATGGTGGTTTTGGGTTAGAATAAAATTTGAAGGTTGGATAAACTTCACTTTTAACCAAGATTAACACACCTGTCAAAGTAGATTTCCAGGTATTTTCCAAATCTACTTGAATTATCATTTTTGAGTGTCTTGGCATTACCAAATGATTCCAGCAAAGGAGTGGCTTCTACTATCTGTCAGTATAAGAGAGTACAATACAATACTGTAATTATGTACCAACAAACAAATACTATATCATTGACTTTTTACTCAATCATCACTTCTACACTACATTACGACATTATGTACATGTATCATTATTACCAACAACAGCAGCATCATCACCTTCATCATCATCATCATCATCACCACCTAAGTCATCAACATCAGTGTCATCATGATCATCACCATCATGATTATCACCATGATCACCATGATCATCATTATCATCACCATTATCAAGGGCAACATCATCACCATCATCATTGCCATCATCATCATCATCATCATCTTCACCATCACCACCATAACCATCATCATCATCATCATCATCACCACCAACATGATTATCACCATAATCCACACCATCATTACCATCATTACCATCTTCACCATCATCAGGATAGCACTAAATCCAGTTTATATCAAGCAGTAAGTACTGATACATGTAAGTGCTGGTCATGTATATAATATACCTGTTCAGTGATCAGACTGGATCTGTTCTTGTTCACAGTAGCCAGATACTGCACCAATAATTTAGCAGACTCTGTTTTACCTGCCCCACTCTCACCACTAATAACAATCACTTGATTCGACTCAGATTTCTGATTCTCTGAGTAAGCAGCACTACCAATCGCAAAGATATGTCTGCACATATAACATAAAAACACTGTTAACTCTTATGACAGGGAAGGCTGTATTGACATAACGCTTAAATATCCTGAAATTAGGGCACAAAAGTAATGCTTGCAAACTCACAAAATTAAAATTATTTATTTAACAAGAAAGTAAAAATTTAACTAGCTAGGTTTTGCAAGTATGAGCACAGTCCAGAAATTGAAGGACCAAAAAGTTTAGAACCTACCTGCGTCAAGTAACGTTTGTTATAGTGACTGAAATATTTGATAGAGAACAAAACTTACTGGCAAGTTTTTGCCAGTGGGTCTAGAAGTTAATTTTGTGCCCTGTCAAATTGCAAATTTAATAGAATGTTATGTACACTTACGGCGGTAGGCTGCCGATTGGTACCCCTGTGTATTTGTCTACAATCTCATCATTATAGATCTCATGTTGCATGTATGGGTTGACGGCTACTAGAATCTTCCCAATGTATGTCTGAAATAAATAAAAAAACAATGAATTTACACCAACTTGCAAGAACATTGTCATACGAAAATAGAACATTAGTGATTTAGTGGGATAGGAATTATATTAAAAAACAAAAGAAGATCACTGAAGCTGAACTCTTTCTTTTGTCTTTTAATGTATTCCTTTCTCACTAAATAACTAATGTTCTGTTTTCGGACAACAACGTTGTTGCAAGTAGGTGTAGATGAAACTTTGATCCTTATGTATCTTAAGATATGATTAATATATTATTACTTGGAAAATTATTGGTGGACTTACATAGATGAGCTCAGCTTCATATCTTATGGCTAGATTGTAGAGTATTGATCCTTCATTGAGATCACTGGAGAAAACAAGTCAAAACCAATAGTTAAAAACAGTGCACATTTTTTTCTTCTATATCACTATACATACTGTATATTCAGGGGTTTCATAAAAAACTCTACTTAGACTGGTAACATGTGCCATTCACATCTGATGAAATTGTGGCCTATTTTTTAACATCTCTGAATGAAAATGAGATCCACCATTTTTCATGGTCGTCCAAGCCACAGCATAATGTCTAATCATACACAACTTTCATAACTAGCTGCTAATTTGCATTCATAAACATTAAAAATCAATGTTTTTGGAGTGAAAACCCTTTGAAAACCTTGTTGATTTAGATAAGGCATGTGAGTTTCTACTTAAATTAATAAATTCTTTACAAGACGTGAGCATTTGAAGTTTTGAAAATGCACCAAAACGAGACCACCAAGGCTTCCAGTGATAAATACATACAAAACTCTCTATTTTCGTTCTTTCATAACTTCTTTGGTATGCAGTCAAATTTTCTGGAAATAGTTTTCGTGAAGTATTTTCTCAGATAGCATTGATAGTTTCTGGTAAAAAGGCTTCATTTTCTCTATCTGAAAAAACTGAGTTATGAAAGTCGTCTATTAAATTTTTTTGCAGAACTATTTAGAGTGTTGGTCTGGCTGTGAGGTTTGAACTACCACTTCCCACACAACAGTGCAATGCCCAACTAACTGAGCCAAGTGGGAGGCGTTTCATTCATAAAGGCACAGGAAAAATGTTTTTACATAACAAGAGATTTAACTTCCCTGTCCTGGTTCTGGATGACTCTTTTTAAAAAGTACTTGATACTTACTTTAGTTTGATCATGTCTTCCACCCCATGTTTTCCATTGTCTATCCTCTGGATGGCTAGTTTAGCTGGTACTGCGCAAACCTGTAGATTAATTAATTATTATATCACTGAACAGTCACTTGTTTATACAATAGCTTGTCTCAATCCCCCTTTTAATTTCCCCATAATACAAAGTGATAGAACCCTCGTAAAACAATGGAATGCAGCTTAATTTGGAGGACATAACAATAGGGTTCCAATTCTCAGGAGATTGAAATTCTTTTTGCTTTGTCCTCTGTTGAGCTGCTTTGGCATCACATGCAAGGGGTCTATAGACTTCTTTACTTTGGGCTTAATGTTTTCCAATTTCAGACCACGTGCCATCCCTCGAGCATCATTTTTCAAGAGAATGACAGGTAATGGGAAAACGCCCAAGTCAAAGAGGTCTGTTCACAGCCACCAACTGTTCCCTAACAACATTATTACCTTGCCCGTCTTATCATTTTGTACTTTGAGGTTGGTTCCTGACACAGCGACTACATGGCCTGGCACAGGAAACCCACCATCACCATCCATCCATACTAAAGAACCCTAAAGACAGAAAAAAATATGGTCAGGATGGTATCATACTCTACGCTTGTTACCATTGTGTAGTTCCAGAAATTATCCAGAGGAATTTTTTTCAGACCCCACTCTACCCCCTGTAAATTCCCATTTTCTTCCATACAAACTTGCAATTTTTGCTCTTTCTCTGACCTCCCTACCCTTCGGAAATTCCAAATTCCTTTGTAGGGGTGGGGGGGGGGGTATGGATAATTTCTAAAACTACACAAGATGGTCCTGGTGAAATCATACTTTTTATATGTTTAGTGATACAATGCTTTCTCATGACACACCATGGAATATCGGTTTCGGAATATCCCAATTGTCACTTTTATTTTCCTACAGTATAAACTAACTCAACAGAAGGCTCTTGTGTATAATAGAGAATACAATTGACTTGTGGGATAATACATGGTATGCCATACACATCACAACCTAGGTTATTTCCTTGTCAATATAACCTTCCTCCTATCAATTGAATATATACAATTTATCTATTAATATTACTTCTAATACTTATATTTTACATGCAACCATCCTTTAAACAAATAAAGTGCTCTTTCACTCATGACCACACAAAGTTTTCTAATACAGTTTGTGCAAAACAAATTAAAGTCCTAACCTTAGGATATAAAGGTCAAAGATACTGAATAACATAGTGGTAGTGTGGGATTAATGAACAGTTATTGAATTCAACAAGTGATATATGCTATATATGTACATTAATGGCACTGTCACTGGTATGTCATAACATATAGTAAAACAACATTTTAGTTAGAAAATACTCATTTAGGAATATGAATTAAAAATTGAATACCATAACAAAGCCAAGCAAAATAAAAGATTTAAAAAATGGATAAATAAAATATGAATAGTCTTACCACATTAATGCAAGGGGAGCGATTTTTAGACAGCTTCATTGAGCTTTTTTGTCAATATTGACATGTACTCTATATTTGATCATAATCCATGGTGTACTCACTTTCAGACCAACAGATAACTTTGTAACTTATACCAGTGTATATAAATACATATAGGTGCACAGAAGGAAATAGATTCTCTCGTGGATATCTTAATATATTATATTCCCTGTCTGTAATGCTATACTTAAGGTAGCTAATCATATACGGTAGTTATGAAAGGGCAAATCTTAGCAAAGTAATGGAGTCAAAATGATTATAAATATCGTGTTTATGCTAGACATGCAGTAGTATCTTATTCATGTTAAAATAAAAAAGCTTAAAATGAAATTCTTAACAAAGTAAACCTACACGATGTAGCAACATGTTGTCTATGCGAGTAGTAAATATCCATTATTTATAGAAGAAAACTAATAAATTTGATTTAGATTTAAGTTTGATTTAGTTCAAGCTGATACTAAGTACTGTATGTATATCATAATGCATACTTGTGAAATGATTCCAAGGTACCACTATAAACATATAAACACTGTGAAATAAAAAGATGAGATTAACTTATGTAATTTTAAAATACCTATCGATTTTTTTAAATTGAATATTAATTTTGGAAAATGTTGCATTATCTATTTCATACGAACATGGTCACATTTTTGCACTCGAGCTAAGCTTAAAGGGTTGATTTCCTTCTGGAAATTTATGGGATTCTTTCAATGACAAGCTGGAACATATCTTGAAATTCAGGTATATACACTATGAAATCCCTTCTTCAAAAGTATCATATGTCAAAGATATGCACCAGCTTGACCAGGTATCATTGGTATCATTTTTTACAGTAAAATCATATTTCCTGTAGATTCTTCAAATTTATTTAAGAGAATTCATTAATCTTATATATTGTACAAGAATATAATATAGTCAATATTATGCATATATACGTGGAGGCTAAAAATCTAGTTCTATGAGGTATGTACGTGTTTGCAATTTATCCAAATTTCTAGACAGATCGATATTAAAACATAATTTTGAATTTATAGCCTGTAAAATGAAATCACAAAAACCCTAGAAATCTGATAGCCAGACCTAAATCTTTTCAATATAGATAAGTTTTAGTTTTGTGTTAGTAATCTATGTGTGAGCATGTTAGCTTACATTTACGAACGTCAGAGTGAATTAATCATGCATGTAGACATATATTGAGCTACAAGACGCAGTCTGTGAACAGCTCAAATATTCATTTCTAATATATAGAATTAACATCAATATCAAGTGTAGTGTTTCAAAATAATTATCAGTCAATAAATAGTGTCTGGATAACATTATTTTATAGATACAATTTATAATGCATCAAGTTTACAGAAAAAATTGCCACGTTTAACTGCTCTGTCATAATTTGGACAAAACTTATTAAACAAATCTCTCATAAGGGTAGCTTTTTAATGACACATACATAATATACAGTCTTCACGGATGATTTGCAAAACATATCCAAGGTATTGAATCCATTCGAAATCCAAACACTTCAGTTAATAAGGAATGTTGTTATATTCTCATCATAATTTGAGGCATATAGAGTGATATTCATATCGCCCCTTGGTTGTAATGCCTCCTGGAGAGTCTTGCAAATAAATGTGAAATTCTTTTTGAGAATATAAAATACCTAGATTAAAATTGCAGTGCAATCAACCAGATAAAGTTTGAAAGTAACTTGACCCTAAACATATATAACATGATCCAATATCGATTCTTAAATACACAGTCAAACAAGTTTTAATGTAACCTAGTTTCGTACCAGTAATATTTAAAGCCCTCCTTAATATAAACAAAAACTCTACCATGGCCGGTGCAAGATAAAAATAGACCCAACACAATAAAATAGTTGATTCTAGAATAATCAAAACTCTTTGTAATACGTCGCTATTCAAGGCATTTGTTATCCTGACTTAACTTATCTGTAACCTTCTACGTAAAATTTCATACACAATAATTGCAAAACAAGAAGTAATGTTTTTCGATAAGATAAGCGAAGAAGATGTATTTCTCGATCTTCCATTAGCACGAAACACGATATCTTCAAATTATTTGCAATCGAATTTCGTCAATAAAATAAAATGTTTAGAATTCATAGATATTTGGCCGGTTTTCTCTACTTCGATAAGTTGCCAAATAAAAGAAAAAACATCCTATGGTAAATAATGCGTAAATTACAGAATAAGAATTATAATTTTGGTTGCGAAACTATTGTCAGATAAATAAGTGCTAATATGAAGGATTTTGAAGCGCCTTTCGAAGCAGTTGTCTCCAAGGGAAACGGTGAATTTTAAGTTTGTATTTGGACGCTAAGACCTTGGTTTTCTAAGTGTTATTTGCATAACGAGAATATTCGGAATAAAAAGCATTTTATGAAGAGAATGTTGAGAGGTTTTGGGGATAACTATCGTGTCAAGATGATCGACGGTATTGCGTTCAATCTACTGGAAAATTCTTCCTTCCTCGGTGATGGTACAGCTTCCACTAGAGCTAAATATTGTCTATGTGATTATATAGAGGTGATTTTTAAAAAGTAGAGGAATAATTAATAGTAAAGTCAGAGATATTCAGTAGAGAATACTTCCGCCAACATGACAAGGCTTACTTTACTTACCACGTCAAAGCCACTAGGCATCCTAAAAAGCTCCCTTTTAAATCACTTCTTGCGGGTTTTAGGTCGTTGAAAAGCTTAATATTATATCTGGGAAGGTTTTGAAGCTCATAATTGTGTCTTTCTGTGGTAAATACGAGTGTTTTCTGACCACATTCAAAGAAGAGTTGAAGAACTAGCAATGTTATGTTATTTGTTGGTAAAATAAGCGCACCGTATTGGGTTGCCTGTGAAATTATCTCGAACTGCCGGACCGCCCACTTAATACGTGCTAAATTAAATTATTTCCATAAATTAATATTATCTCTAATATTTTGTTGTCGCAACGGTTATTTTATATCTAAACAATTTCACAAAAGCTGTTTTTATGTAAACAATTTGTTTTCTAAACATTTTGTCATGGTAAAGTCATGGCTAAAAATAGATCTGACTCATTCACATTACGTTGTTTGAGGACTGTGGTATTTAAATCTGGAGAGTTCTATTTCGATTGCACACAACATTACTTAGAAATAGAGTTATGTATTTTAACTTCTAGTAGTGCTATAGTCTTGTGTAGGACAACGATAAATACAAGCTGCGAGCTAAAATGCTCAGCCTGTGAATTCCACTAGCAAAGCTCTCTCATGTGAGACGTTAAAAATTTGATTTGGGGGATAATGTTTTGGTTGCTATGGTATTCAACAGACTTCCGTGTTATTTGATTTCCTTTTTCCAGTCCTCCACGTTCAAATAGAATGGCCACACAGCTTAGGTAAGTATAGGATAGAACATAAGCGTGCCGTGCCGTGCCGTGACCCGAGTGTTAGAGAAAGTCTGTTTCTTTCTTTTGGGCTTCATTGGTGCGAATTCTTATTGAATCTAAGTTTTAAAGCTTTTGTGTTGAAGTTCTTCTGGTTCTCGCGTGTGAGGTCATAATATGTAATATTGTGGTATTAGGTGTATATGACCGTCTAGTAAGGGATGAGGGCAAAACAAATGTTATCTCACGGTGACCGATTTAGGGGGGAGGGTGTAGGGGTGGTGTTACCCGGTACTCACCACCTCTTGAAGTGAAATCTTAGATTTTATCCCCAAATATCTCCAAAACTAAAAGCCAAACCATAGAAATGAATGGACTGTCTGTCTTGTGTATAAAAATTGCCACTACAGACCCCCAGCATCAAGCATTTGAACAGGTCTCTGAGGGGGGAGGGGGTATGTACCGTACCCACCACCTTAATTCATAAAATCGGCTCCCTATTTTGGACCATTGTTTTGACCTCGCCCCTAATACGCAGGGGTCCAGAGAAAAATAGCCGATCTTTGACCTGGCGTCTGTATAACCAGGAATTCTTATTACATAATCTTCAACGATATCCCAGTAATCGTCGGCAGCCATGACGGGTTGTATCTTGGAGAAAATGTCTTGGGACGAAGAGTGTGTTAGCTTAATCTCCTTGAGGTGTGGCTCATTGAGCGTACAAATTCTCTTTTAAATAAGATTCTTTGTTTGAGTTGTATCCATATTCAAATGTCTCAGTCTCATGTGTAACCATTAAAGAAAGAAATAATACTCTAGGGAATGCAACGTCAACTAGGTTTATTGAGTATATAGGGATTGTTGTACCTTGGTCTGTTTTGAGGCGGTTTCTAGACCAACGAAGGTCGACAACGTAATGACCTCTTTTCTTTAGGGCCTTAAATCTAGCTGTTCGGCTGAAGTCAGTTGTCAAGAAGGACCGTCGTGATCCCTCGTTAAAGAGGTTGCGAGCCCTCCATATTCCTTCTCAGGTACTCTAGTGGAGCGACAGCAGTTTTCAAACACCTCTGTCGGTCGGTTTGCTTGTTATTGCTTTGGCCCACGTGATGCCAATTGGCTACTGACTTCAAGGTAGTGTTGAATTGTTCAAACGCGTAAACATATTCAGTGAGGATAACTGTAGCTGTCGGCTTTCCCTGTGGTGTTTCTTGGCACAAACTTCAAGGTGTGATGTTTTTTCTTACAATATTTGCATCGACCAATAGATTTCGCTGAGAGACTTTATGGCTGCCAAGACAGTTAAAACCGCGTTTTTTATCCTTTACTTGCAATACTTGTAATCTGTTACTTGCGTTTGCCAGTAGGTGGGAGGTGGTTAGGGAGCATTCACTTTTCAGGAGGGAAGGGGCCGTAGCAATTAAGGGGAGCATCAAACATTCACAAGTGAAAAAAGGGGGGCCCTGTTTGTTTGTTTTTTTTCATGTAAGAAACTTGCAAATATTACTATTTTTTCAGTAAGGTGTGGTGGGGGGGGGGGGGAGGCATTTCAAAATTCTCATAACTAACCCGGGTGGACTAGCAAATTGGGCATATATACTAACAGCTATTGCTCCGGCCCCCTCCCCCTTTTAAAAAAATGAATTAAAACTAGTTATCGATTTAAAGTATTCCATCTTTGTAAAGAAATTACAAGCATTTCCTCAGCTAAGGTGATTCTCTTGAAATAAAAGAAGAAATGCCATATTCCCCAAACTTTGCATAGTCGTTCACTGCACCATGGACGTTAGTCCAAATATGCAATGAAAAAATGGGGGTCACCATCCTTGATTTCGATTCATTTTGAAAAAAAACATCGCAAAATGGACGAAAACTCGGATTGTAATCGATTGCCGAAATTTGCGCGTAAAAAAATTGCAAAAAAAAGTAGGCATAGGTTTCAGGTCACCCATCCAGGTACTAACTTCCCACAACCTGGCTTGACTCAGCGTCATTGAAGCCCAAGTTTTTTCCACTGGACCACGGTTCCAGGTGAATCAGCATAACAATAGCCGTGAAAACAATGCACCGAATAGACTAGACTTTTTAACTGTATTTTTTCAACCGATTCCGTGCGTGGCAGAGATGCAAGGGATTAGCCGATATGGTCTGGGGGCCGGCTGGTCTCTCCCCTGATGCTTCGGCTAGAACATTTTCTTGCGTAATTCGTACACCCAAGGGCAGAAGGATTTAATCGCCGTCAGGTCCGAAGTCCATACGACGCCTCAGCTCTGCGGATGTCTCGGGGGTATGGCAAATTAGAATCGACGTTACTTTTTTAAATTTCTGTCGTACACGAGTTCGAACCCCATCGTATCCAGTTAAGATTTTTCTATTTTTTTTGAATGCATGTTATTATCATTTCAGCAATATCTTTTGGAAAAACCTAGTACCTAATTCCTTTCTGCTCATATTCAGAATTATATACACTGTAACAGTTGAATAAGCAATCTCGACCCGAGGCATCTCCTTGGCTCTTATTGCTCCTTGGGCTTCATGTGGCGAGGACAAAAAAGACGAAGGGGGAGGGGAAGGAGACTTTCCTTCCCTCCCTCGTCCCCACTCCTCCTACACTGTCGTTCCTAGTTCTTCTCTGCCATGAAATGTAACACAGGGATCCCAACAGAGAATATACAGGTAGCCTGCGGAGGAGACTATTTTATACTGATACTGGCAAGAGCTTCTACTCTGATTGGCCATTCGGTTCCTGGTATTTTCTCTCCCTATATATATATTGCTATGATTTCTGTTTATATGCTATTGTTGCGACTACTACCCAAAGGGGCCAGCATTTCCCAGTCCGATTCCCGCGCACAAATAACACCCAATCCCCACTCGTCTTTCAAGGGCCACAGATTTGTTAGCCACTGGCTCAAATAAGTACTACTTACGTAAAACAGAGACAATTGCCCTATTTCACTATGACGTCACATCAAAACAATCTGTTGTTTAAGCGTAAAGGATCATGGTCGTCGGAGGGGGTCACATCAACGCAAATTCTCCGAAAATTGTTCTAAAACCCGTATCAATCCACGAAGAGAAGTAGAATAGCTAGCAAACGTTCAGAATATTTGTAGTACATATTAACACATATCAAATCTGAAAACCAGGCCATTTTAGATTAAACTGTTTCGCTAGGAGTAAATTTTGTTGAATTTTCTATTGGATTTGGCGATTCTATCCCCCACATAAACAAGCAGTGACGTCATAGTATGCATTCTATTTTTTATTTGATAGGGCCAAAAACTTTAGGAAAAGTATGTGTATGACATGTAACGACGCCATTAGTATATATGTCCTCAAGCTAAGGTCATTTAAATCTTCCATTAAAACTTTCATATAGCAAGCTGAGTAGCGAAATGAAAAAAAATATGTCTTAGGATGGTTCGTAAAGACTACTGACTTGATACGAAGACCTCTAGTTATGAAACCTTTTATAGTCCAACCCCTCTTCCATCACACACGTGCGGCAATTGAACGAACAAATGGACCTGTGATCACTTTTTTATTTTGGCTATAGAGAAATAAAGAAGTGGTTGGTCGGTTGGTTGGTTGGTCGGTTGGTCGGTTTGGCGAGGTTAGTCGGTTTGGCGAGGTTGGTGAGAAATGACTAGCTCCTCTTCTTGCCGAATCGGCGACCTTGCGTACTGTTTTGATCCCCGTACATACATATAATATGTGGTGTATAATATTTTTCTTAAGTATGATAGTTTTGAAGTAATTTAATCCACAATTCATCCTAATGGCATCTAGTGAAGGTTTTTAAAGTATTTATTATTCATCTTATCTTTTTTTTTTTTTCTTTTTTACTTTATCAATTTATGTATTTATGCTTTTTTGCGTTTTTTTCTAATTTTTGTTTAAAATACTCATATTTTGCAGTTATGTTCAGTATTAAATACTGTTATTAAACAAAAACCTTTTGCGGTTGACATGTTTGTAGTTAAAACTATCTTTTAGCGTCTTTTAGCATCAAAAAAAAAACACACATTATGAAGGGGCGTGTTCAATGAACATCACGTGACGGCATCTAAAAAGGCTTCCTTACTGTGGCATTATTGTATGTCTGATGTCAAACTTCATGATATAGAATAAAGACTCGTTTGTTATCGGCACGACTTGTAATCAGAATTCTGAAAGAAATACGAAAATTGTTGAACCCCATGTGGAGATAATTTGACGATTTTCTGGCTTCGTTCTTGTTAATCTTTTGCAGGATCTACGACTTCAAGAAGCATCTCTAATACCAAACACAAAAGTAATCAATAAAGGTTCAAAATACACCTGCACATCCGATCCACAATGAACGTGACTGGACGGAAATTTTATGGAATTAAAGCTGGACAAGCTGGTGATCTTGCTTGAAAATTGATCTTGATAGCATTCACAATCAAACCTTGAAATAATCATGATGGTACGTYCTCACAACACGACTTAAACCAGAAGTAATTAATCGTGTAAAGGAGAATGCYTGATCGTTATATACTATTGACTGCTCGTACTAACCACACTCCTCGCCTCAAGGCACACTCTCTTCTATCTAGGAATACAGATACTTAATGTATAGATCTATGAGGATTTACCCTTKYATGATACACTACACCGTTTTATTTYTTGGATCATTATTATGATTTTTAASACTTTCTTTCCCGTTTGGTTACCTTTTGTATAGTTTGACGTACCTTTCTTTCATCTTAGCCTTATGCCGAAAGCTGTCATTAACGGCTTAAACACGGCGACAAAACGGTTTTGTTTCCTCCAGGAAAAATAAATGCTCAAGAAAGAGCAGCCATTTAACATACATTCAGTATTAAAGATTAAAGACCTGTATTTTCAACCAAAACACGAATTTCCTTTTTAATTACCAAAAAGCAAAACTCAAAACACTTAAATTAACTTGAAGTTTGTATTTCCATTGAAGATGGGAAGCAGATACTAAAGATATCAGAGAAGGTTTGTCATAGCGGGTATTCTGTCTTATCGGAACACTGAACATTCATTTAAACCCTCATTTTAAAATACAACCACGTCACAAATAACGAAACGAATAGATTCMAAAGTGTCCGCCAATTTGTTGATATGGATATAAATCTTAATCGAAAAGTGTTTGGGCTATAATATGACGATATTGCCTGCAGTTAGTTTATTGTTCGTGCATTTGTATTTGGTGTAACTATGGGGGGTGTTTAGCTAGATCACCTTATTCATGTTATTAAGCATGTAAAAGCACTCCGTGTGTAAATAGATAGTACTTTTGACTTCAGGCAGGTTATTTTGATTATTATTTCACGCAATTATGAACATGGTCTTTCTTGTCGATTGTCTGTGTGAGAAAGCTGGCAATTAAA